AACCATAAAATAAATGCAACGTTCTGAAGAAGTTTCCAGTGTCGTTTGCATTTCTACGGAGAGTCTTGTAAAATCGCCTTTTACATTTTGGCTTAGCTGCGTGACACGAATAACCACTGTGGTCTATATAAAAGAGACACTTAGCGCTCCTTTAATTAGCACTTACAAAACAATGTGCACTTTTAAATGTACGAGGCGATGTTTGTAGACAACTTTGATTATGTAAATACTGGGTGGCGTTAACTTCTTTATGGATCCATTTTAAACTCTTCTTATTTAATTACGCTCGTTTGGAAAGATTACCATATAATGTGATTTTTGCGATGTGTAATGTGCTACTTTCTAGTAAAGTCCATTTTACATTATTGGCGCAGTGGCGTCAGCGCAGTTCACGCGCAATGTCTACAAAGTAAATTGATAATTAATAGAAATAAACTATTTCAAACCAATATACACAACGAGCGACTAACACAGACGGACGAACACAAAGTATAAATAAATAAATAAATAATTCATCTTCCTTGCGACTTCCTCGTTTAGGAACTGCGAAACCTGCGAAAACCCCGAGTAAAGATTTCTAAGGGATTTTTCCGGTTTTTCATATACCGGGTGGTGCACGGTTAAGTAGGAACATAGGCATTTAACATGGGAAATTAGTTTTATGCAATATCTTGCCCTCCATGTACATTTTACAGAAAAAACTGTAGAGTTTAAAATTGTTCAGAATTAAAAACTGTTTTTACATGTTTTATTAAGCTTTTGGTATACCCGCAAATTTAAAAATAAATTTCAACATTTCCGTTATTAGTAGCAATTGATAAAACAACAAAAGTCATGGCTATTGCTACTAATAACAGAAATTTTGAAATTTATTCTTAAATTTGCGGGTATACCAAATAGCTTAATAAAACATGTAAAAACAGTGTTGTATGCACCTTTTAATTCTGAACAACTTTAAACTCTACAGTTTTTTCTGTAAAATGTACAGGAAGGCAGGATATTGCATAAAACTAATTTCCCATGTTAAATTCCTATGTTCGTACTTAACGTGCGCCATCCGGTATAGTGTACATGTAAAAAAGGAAGAAAAGAAAACATAATTTTACCTGTAAAAGGTGGTGTAAAATATTGTATTGGTACATTTGGATCCAAAAAACATGTATTTGAAGAGTGCACACCAATTTTTTTTCCCGGCACAACTTTTGGCAGTCAAAAAATCTCAAAATGTTTGGACCTTTTTCAGTTTTTCGCTTAAAACTCGAAAATGGTAGATATTTTATGAATAACACTTCTTTAGTAAATAAAAAGAAAACAAAATTCTGCGTCGATGAAAGGATGAACAAACAAAGTCCAATAGAAAAATGTTTAATAGCGATTAATGAACACCAGGATAAACATTCATTTTTTCCGACCATTCTAAAAAACTGAGCTCACCTTTTTAATGCGTTTTGGCTCCTAAAGGAACGATAAAATCCACTACTCCCTCCTTAAAGATTGTAAGACATCTGAGGTCAAAAAGTACCAAACATTTAAAATTGGACCAATTTTTTAAATTTGTTGGAAATTATTGAATGAGCCGGAATGAACAAGACTCATCTAAATTGCTTGAATGGCTCTCCCAAAACCACCCTTTCACTGCAACAGATGTCCTCATGTCACTAACCTAACCCAAGTAGCAAAATTGGATACATTTTAGCAAACGTTTTCATCAAATTGTTTCTGTTCCCGTCACAAAATGGAAGCTGTTGGCGACACATCTTCGAAACATGTATCAATTCTGGTAGCATTCAAATAAGCAACATTTACGAAAATGTTCGAATAATGTATAATGTTATTTTCGGGGCTGTTGCGTTCAAATTACACCATTTGGATCAAAATGGGCACATCACTTTCGATTTTTTTGCGATCTATAGGTATTTTGGTACTTTAAAACTACTAACACTGTTGGGTATAAAATGAAAACAAACTGTTTCCAAACCTTATACTGTAATGTTCATTAATTTATTATTTTTATTTATTATTTATTTTATTTATTATTTATTCATTATTATATGACTACTGCAGAATAATGGCAACGCCACGACCATTGAATTTATTCAATGCCACGACTAAATATAAAACGTATAATCCAACTCTCCAACTCTAAATAAGTTTGGGAATACGTTGATATATTGAATGAATTTTTGAACCAATTAAATGCTTCTAATAAGGACCCGGATTTAACATGAATACAGAGAGAAAGAATGAAAGTGCTTTTCGTACAGTTTTTAGGCATGAGGTGACACAATAATCTTGAGTTGCTTGTTTCGATTTCAAGACATTTCATTTTGCGACGTAGGTATTTAGTTCACTCCTATCAAATTAATTTAAAAATTAGTAAACTTTGCGACCATTATTATTAAAGCTAATAAAAAGAAAAATATGGTTTTTGTCAAGAATGAAACTTCTAAACACCTGTTTATAAGGCCGACGCCGCCGACGCAATGGACTACACATGTGTTTCCAATTTTAGACTCGGATAGATAAGATGAGTGTAATTGTAGTGTATAAATTTTTGATTTGGTTTAAATGTAAAAATCCAAATTACTTACTGCATTTTACGCGGTACCTACTCTGTCCTTGTCAAAATTCACCCTTAGCTTTCTTGCTTTCGGTATACTAGGCACCCTCCATTTGAAATTTTTGAAGACCATTCCGCACAAGATGCACTGCACTTCACGTTAACACGATCGAATCATTTGATCATAAGTTATATTTTTGATGGAGGGGCGGTAACGTAAGCAGGTAGAGAGTAATCACCTGATGCGCTTATCTGCACATGCGGTCACTTTTACTTTCAATAATGGGGGTTTACGGTATAGTTGAATTCCGCAGTTCTAATTTAATAAGCGTGTACCTGAAACCATAAAACATTTTTTTGGACAGTAAAAGTTTATTTAGAAATAGAGGCTGATTAGCAAAAAAATAATGAACATGTGCGGTTTTAAAGGTTTATTCAAAACGATATGATTGTGGCGGGCTCTGTGACGTAATAAGCCCGACCAATCAGCTCCTAGAACCATTCAGATGACATAACGACTTGGCAATATTGCAGGAGAATAGCATTTATAACTTGCGTCATCTGTCACAGGCACTTGTCACTTTCGTGCTAGATGCAGTCACAGCCGTCTATAATTACAAGCCGTGCTGAGAATTATGGCAACACTGCATGGTAGGCCGATTTCCTAATTCAACTTGACAGATTTCAGGTGTATTTTATGTGTGTTTTGGGTGTAATATTGCTTTTTACCTGTTTTAACAGAGCGAGATGGCGACAATTTGTGTTACTCCGTACGGAATGAACAGAAATTATTATTCAGGTAAGTTGCTAAACGAAATATATCGATTTATTGTCATAACCTCTAAAGCAGGCTACTCCTTAGTGGACCCTTTACAAGCACTTGTATTTGTTCAAAGTACCTGTACAAGCTCAAATATGACCTACACACTACGTGGTACGTAAGTACGGTAAGTGTTTATCGTGAAAGAATACAATAATTATTTTATTAGTTGGTATTTCAGATATTCTAGCACGGACATGTCAAGTCGATTTTCTGAAGGAACCTTCCGACTTATTCCCAGGAGTTCACGGTACGGGAATTTGAAGTCTACGGGGCTCCCCTCTTTAAAAGCTTCGTACCTAGACCCACTGGAGTACCGACTGGCTTAAAATCTGCCATTCCGAATCACACCTGGTCGTTGATAAAACTTCGCTGATGCACATCGATTTACTGTCCTTTTGCCGAAATTAAGTGCCCAAGCATGTGCTTCACCTCGACCTCTTTCGACAGAAGTTCACCCATTTCGGAGATCTCGATGGAAAACACATTATCATGCAGTTACCAATTTACAGCGTTCCGAATTTTAACGTCAAATAAAAATGTTATTATCCATTTTTGTAAATAAATTAAATATATGTACAATTGTAAGCTGCTTAAGTATCTTTCTTCTGTATTAAAACCACCAAGGCGAAACACAGGAGAGAGGAAAAATGCAATTTTTCAAGAGCAACAAGACGCCATTAAAATGATATCGGCCCACCGATTGACGTTCGGACAACGTTGCCAAACTTCTCATCATGGCTTGTAATTATAGACGGCTGTGATGCAGTTAAACATCCCTCTCAAAACGTCAAATGTGACAAACGTCAGACCCTCGCGTAAGGTTGCCAGCTCACTTCTACGTGATTGGTTGCAGGTTTCTGACGTATTTAGTCTGAAGCGTTTCAAATTCGGACTAAAAACACAGCTTTTCAATAATTTATTTTGGGTTTATTTTACTCGCAAATAAAAATTGAGGACACACGGGTTTTTTATTTTTAATGTACTTTGTGGATCAGAAATAAAAAATGAAGGCGGGATGACCCCATTTGTTATTTTAAAAGCATGATGGTCCTGTAGTTAAGGGCTGAGTGAATTATAAAAGTGACTACCAGAAAATGAGCTTAGTGCCAAGATTATTCGCCAAAAAATAGCAGTGCCGGAATAAATTTACTAAGGAAACGTATTTCAGCTTTATTGTCGACATCATAGAACCTCCCATTGGTGAGTAACCCCGCGTTTTTGTTTTTCACACACTAGCGATGTATTATTAACCAGCTTGCGTTGTTTTCACGGAGAAGCTTTGTCTTTTTGTAGAAACTCGATCAGAAAGATATTAAGTAAAGTAAATTGGGAAAAGCAGTATAGAAAGCTCAGTTGCCAAAACTACTCCGTGAAATATAAAAAGAAAATAAAACATATCATCGCTTTTCTTAATGACCTTCGATGTTTATGAAACCCAAGTTTAACTTTTTTATATTTGCGAGTTCTAAATTTTACCCAATTTCCTCTTGAATCAGAAAACGTACTAGCCTCATCGACAATAAAATTTTCTTTATTCAATATAGATAGGGACATATGGAATAAGGAAACGGAACACTGCACTTCGTGTGAAGCGGAGTATTTGTGAAATAATAATAATTCAGATTACATATGTATTTATTTCCCGGGAAAAGTATAAATAAGCACACATACCACAACTAAGAAAAACAATTCAATTTCAACAAACTAGTTGAGTGGCCGTGGGACATTTTCAATGAATTGTCCTTGAACATTACCAATCGGGTCATAATTGCAGGCCACGTACACTATATTTTTAGATGATTTTGCTACACCGACACCCAATTTCCGACTACTTTTCCAAATTAATTGAGTAAAATGATAAGTACCCTCTATGCCATCGTTGGTATTATAATCGTACTTTTGACTTTCATTGTACCAAACTTCTACTGCTGTCAACGCTATCTCTTGATTCGTTTGTTTGTATACAGAACTCCAAAACAGGTTTTCGCCATAAGGGTTATCTGGACGGTGAGAAAACGTGTCTGTTTCTGCAAGATGGTTGGCCCAGTCTTGGGCGAAATTGTTCAGCTATAGTAACATAACATTTGATTATACTTTGGTACTCTAGGTAATACCAATACAATTCAGATGACTTAGTCTGTAACTGCATTGCATAATTTCAGACACTGTTTTTTTAAATGATTGCTAATAATTTTGACTAAAAATTAAAAAAAAAAGTAATTATACCCGACTGTCCAAGGTTAAGGGAGGTACTCCATGTTGCGCTCTGTATCGATTGTGAGCATTCAAAACGGCAATATTAAGTCGTCGGTCTCCTAAAACTTTTACACACTTGCTAATATACTTTTTTGATATAAAAGTGTCCCACTTACCTGCCACTAAACTGGCACCTACAAGGAACAGTAAAACCAATGCCGCTTGCATGTTTAACTTTTGAAGTCTGAATGAACAGTCAGAAGTGGTACTCTTTTATACAGAGTGTTATCACTTCTTTAACGATAATATTCCTAGCAAATATGCCAGATATTCATTTTTTATTTATCAAGCACATTTTTAGCAACCGTAACTACCTATGATTGATAATATTTGCGAACTAATTGCGCGTGTAATTATACCTATGCATGTAAATGAGGCAGCACATATATGAAATTTTCCTTTGATAGTGGATAGCACTCTGATTAGCCGAAATTGGTGCAAAAAATAGTAATTTAAACGTCTGCATCGAGTGGGTATAACCAATTAATTCGGAACTCTTTGCATCCCTGGGAAAACGTGGTAACAATTAATGAATAATTCTGAACATCATGTTTATATAACCAATTTTTAATTCAGTTAATTTTTATGACATTATCTTTGAATGTTTGAATTGCCAGAAGCATTTTGGATTCAAATTCAACTTTGCCATGAAGTTTGACGTTAGTCGATAATCAAGGCATTTGCGAAGATATTGAAATACGAATTTCTGAACGTTTCTTTGCTAAAGTCAACTTCTAGGTGTAGGTAAAGACATCCCCACAGTACACAATCTTTGCACAAATTACCTTTAGATTTTCATTCTCCTGTTCATATTATATTTTTTAAGGGTGAAATATTTTTTATAATATGGAAATTGACCATGTCCCTGTCATGTCTAAACGTTTGAAATTGTGAATAAAGTAATTCGCTCGAGAAAGGTAAATCTAAAGATGCAAGGCTAGCTTAGTTCGTTAGGTTATTCTTTGGGCAAAATATTTTTACTTTTCCCTTTGATCACAAAAGCAAAGAACACCATCCTTTTTTAATTCTGTTTTTTCTATTACGATGACTTTTTTATGTTTTTTTTTCATCTTATAGCATCTTCAAGAAAATTCTTATGAACACTGTAAATAATTTTAATATGTAACTTACGGAATTCAAATATTTTATATTACATACAATGACATTAATAAGTCCTATGAAGGAAATAGTGCTTATATATTTTTCTTATTTCTACTAATAGTACAGTCAATTTGGCACGAAAAACTGTCGTTTTTGGAAAAAAATACCTTATAATTTTTTTGCATAAATCGTTGTTACCTTAGAAAAGCTTAATTCCAAAAATCCGGGATAGTACCGTGGGGCAATTTTGAGAAAACTCAAAAAGTTTTTGGATTCGATTTATCTCGAAAACGATAAGTTTTTCAGAAAAATGTATTGAATAAAAAATGTTGCGGACGTTATTGTCCCAAAGTTCCCAAAAAAAAGTGTTTCTACTTTTTCACCGAAAAAAAATTTTTTTCTCTCGCAATTGCAAATGCAAACGTTATTGGCCGTGCAAAAACCTACAAAATGCAAATACACTTTTTTTTACGTACACAGAAGCAGAGTACGTGGTCCGAAAGATTTATGTGTACATAATTGTGTATGTACATACTGTACTCATAAATACATATGGATGTTAACTTAAGCTTTTTTACAAGGACAAAGTTAAATTTTGTTTTACGTGCAGTATTTAACTGACTTCTGTCCTTGGTCTGTTAAATTTATGTTTTGTTGAAAAGAATAAAGTTTATTTCTTAATCCTTGTGTCCACATTTATTATTTTCACTAGTTTCGCGATAATCCGAAAATTTGATAATCCGAAAGGTCGGTGGTCCGAATCGATTCGGATTAACGAGGTTGTACTCTACCTACTTGTTTTGATTACTATTTTGTTTTGTATACGTGAACCCATTTTATTGAGGGGGCGTGTGAATAACAATAAAATGTACTTGTTTGAAAAGAAAAAGTTTGGCAACATCATGTATGTAAAACGTGGTGTGTATGAGTTAGGTTATGAAGTTATGTAGTTGTGCACGTGTTTGTTCCCAGTTTCGTTTTAGTTCTTTATGTATCAAGGGCATTAAGGCGATATTTATGCCGAGGGCGACAGAGCCCGAGGGCTTCTGGCCCGACGGATTGTAAGTCGCCCGAGGGTTAAATATCGAGTAATGCCTGAGGTGCATACAACATTTTATTTTTCATCGTTCCAAATAATGCATTTCCAATATACAAATGTAATGATTATTATTTTTCATTTGCCTATTATATGCCAATTATATCTGTCATATGAGATATATAAAGCAGTCTATGACGCCCGAGGGCAGAGGGCATAATGAGATGACAATCCATTATGCCCTCTCATTATGCCCTAAAACTGCCTGTCAAATATATTGATGGAGTTATGTCATAAAAAAAGGTGCTACTTGATTCGTATGAAGCACTAACCAAATATATTATGTCCGTAATACATGTTTTACTCCAAATAAACGTATTTCCAATATAACATTATTGAAATCATTTAATTAGATCACCATACATTTGTGACGTCAACTATTGTTTATGTTCTATCCCTATCAAGTGTTTTATTCCTTTTAGCTCCCCGGGCCAGAACAAGGATCTATTCCTATAGTATATTCGTAATGAAAGTAAAATAATCTTTCCAACTATGTGTTGTAAGACCTATATAGCCATTTAAAAAAAGCAAAATCTCCGTGTCAAAAAACCATACGGGACAAAAATTTTCTTTTCATGCTTTAAGTCCGAAAACTTTCAAACTGATATCTCCAACCGTTTTCACACCAGTGCTTTGGTTCCATCTTTATTAGCCACTCTGTATAATATGTTCTTTAGAGTAGATGTCTCGGATTCTACGATGAACCTTCGATCTTCCAGGAACGATCGGACATAGTTAGGTAAGATGCCATGTAAGTTATATTTTTACAAATAATGATATTATTATAAAAAAACTGAGCGTAATCTAATTTGGTGTCGGTAGTTTGTAGGTACTATAATTATTGATCACAATTATTTAATTTAATTACTGATGTTATGGAAATTACACTTTCGGGTTGTCTAAACAGTTTTGCATTTGGGCTTAATTAGTTTCTATCCATTCAATCGATCATTAGCGGAAACAACTAATCTTCTCATTACCTTCCTATTGTATCTATACATTTCCGAAAAAGTACAAGTATACTGATACCTGAAATAATAATTGAAACAATTACCCTAATGACACTGTCATATCATCTAAAAGGTAATTAAGGCGTATATAAATCGTAATACCTCCTTATCGAAGCTTTTATTTGGCCCTTGGTAGCAGAGTGAAAAGACTACAGAAAGTTTTGAAAGTACATTTCTTTAATGGTGACATCAGTTTCATCAAAAACTAGCAAAATTGTAGAGTTTTTACATTAATTTTAAATTAATTTTGTATTGAATATGCAAAAAAAAACACTGGGGCGAAAATCTCCCCACCTGGTACCTGTTTTAATTTTTTTAATCACGACACCTTGTTTCATTTCGGAGGGGTCCAGCAGGAGTTAAAGAATTTTAATATACTTTGTTTTAGTGGTTCGCCACAGTGACGGAGCATTTCGTTACGGATACATCGCATCCCGGGGAATGTGCTGTCTCCTGATCGGCTTTGGTTTCCGCTTTTCGAGAACAGTGTGTGTAAACATGATCAGCGATATATTATTAGTTATTTCCCGTAGGTCATTTGTCACCTCCCCGTCTGTCCCACGGAGAAATGCTGGGTATCAGGGAAACAGCAGGAATCTGCTTCCAGACCTATCCGCTGGTAGCATCCGGTGTGATGGTACAGACATACTCTCGTCACGACTCTCTTTGAGCTTCGCGAATTCTCCGACGACACTCTGCTGTACGTTTTTTGAACACTATTAAGGTTCTCTATCGTGGGACAGCAGTGAAGTAGGTACCCAAATTCATATTTCAATATGATCATCGGCTAACGTCACAGCTCACGGTAATACTGTATTACCGAAGTTTGCTTAAAACACGAAATTTGAATCCAAATTGCTTCTCGCACACCAAACATTCACAAGAAATTTAACAAAAATTAACTGATTTAAAAAGGGTTATAAAACACTATGCGTATTAAGAATTTCCCTTAGCTTAATGCTACCGCGTTTTCCTAGGGATGCAAAGGAATTAATTAGCTATATTCACTCGATGCGAGTTCAAATTAATATTTCTTCTAATTGGAATGTTATTTAATATGGGAAAATTTCACACATATGGTGTCTCATATAAGTATAATTACAGGCGCAATTAGTTTGCAAATTGCACCAACCATAGGTAGTTAATGTTGCTCATCGAGTATTCCTGAGACATAAAAAAATAATATCTGTCATATTTACGAGTAGTACAATCGTTAAAGAAGTGATAACACTGTATAAAAGAGTACTAATTGTGACTGGTCATTCAGACTTCAAAAATTAAACATGAAAGCAGGATTGGTGTTACTGTTCCTTGTAGCTGCCAATTTAGTTGCAGGTAAGTGGGACATGTTTATATCGCAAAACTATACTATCAACTGTGTAAAAGTTTTAGAAGCCGGTACACTTAAGGCTAACGTTTTGAAAACTCACAACAAATACAGAACACGACATGGAGTACCTCCCTTAATCTTGGACAGAAAGGTATAATTTGTTTTTTTAATTTTTAATAGTATTACTACTCCTGTCCTAATTATGCAATTTTAGACATGATATTTTTTGGATATTCTAGGGATTTCTAGCAATTATTAAAACAAAACCGTGTTTGACTCCAAACAATGTCTGAAATTTTAATACAATGCAGTTGCAGATTAAATAATCTGAATCGTATTCGCAGTACAGTATCAAAGTGTAATCAAATTTTCTCTTACTAGCTGAACAACTTGGCAACTGGTAATGTTCCAGGACAATTCAGTGAAAACGTGCCACCGTCACTGTATTCATTGTTGAAATGGAATTGTATTTGTGTTGCATTCAGAAAATCTAAAATAAAACGGAAAACATAACAGCATGTAATAATTGATCGATATAGAATTTTTTTCGGTATGTGAAAATGCAAAAAAGTAAAACATGTTGTATTAAAAAAACTTTCTAAGGTTTGAAGTTTTTAGAATTGATCATTAGTTTTAAAACATCTTACGATTAAAATTTAAATCACTCTCGTGTAGCATCAAGTCAGTATTGTAGATTTTGGAAGACTTTTTGAAATTCAAATCAACGGAATCATATGTAGAAGGCTCAAAAGAAAATGAGTCAAACGTCAAAAATTTTGAAGAATCTCGAATAATTTGAAAACCTGCTGGGTATAGGGAGATGTGGTATCAAGTGGTATCAAACAACGTAGATTTCCATGTAGATTTTGAAATGCAATAAAAAATACAGGATGTTTTATTTAAAATCAAAAAGTCGGTATCCACATCCGGTGAAACTATCATATTTTCTTTCAGTAGGTATTGAAAAACTATGTCGGTATGGAAATTTTTATGAGAACCTGAAAACGTTTAGGTAACGGTACAACCTGTATACATTTAAACCGTATTAATAGCTTCGGGATGAGTTAAATGATTTTGTTTTTTGAAGTGACTACTTATTAATTATACCTGTCACCATCAGCGATCAACTGATTTTGCATACTGTTCGCTGTTCGTACCAGTTTTACTGTTGAGACGCATTTGTTTGGTTTTATTGTAGTTTCATTTTTACATCAGTTAAAGATGACTTTTAGAACCTACATAACATCAGTCAGGTTTTATAATAGACTTCGCGCCAAAGGACCAACTCTACTCGGTTTCTTTACCTTAGACTTTAAATTTTTGCTCATAATTGATTTCTTTTTACTTATCTTAGCGAAGGTAATGCAACAGAGGCATTTATTTATTATTATTATATGAACTTAACTTAAATCGAACCAGAACTGTGTTATTTCAAAGTAACTATCGGTTAGTTCGGAAAATTTAATCTCAAACTCTTCGGAATATTAAAAAGGAGAAAGTTATTGAACCTTCGATAGAATTTTCTTCAAGGGCACCGATTGAAAACCAGTTTTATGTGTTGTTTACATGTAAACAAGCACAAGGACACATATAGGAGAATAAATGCGACGGAAAAGCGTCGTCGCTACCAACCATAGAATTTTAAGCCTTTTTTTTTTTTTACCAAAAATCGACTACACCAAAATTTCTCGAGAAAACACTTTTTCTTATTAATTTTGGGGCGAAGAATCCAAAACAATTCGTACTTTTTCGATTAGACTTCTCACTCAAAGGTTATAGATTAGAAAGCAATTTCGAAAGAATATTCAAAGGGCTGTAACTTTTGAACTAGTAGCCCAACCTTCGAACTGTTTAATATTATGGATTCTACAGGGCACATTCTATAAGAAAAATTTTTTTCCCGCTCGATGTCAGACAATTTTTTTTTCGGGACTCAGAAAAAGGCAGTGTATAACCTTCCTTTTTTTACCAAAAATTGACTACACCAAAATTTCTCGGGAAAACACTTTTTCTTATTAATTTTGGGGCGAAGAATCCAAAACAATTCGTACTTTTTCGATTAGACTTCTCAAGCAAGAGTTATAGACGAAACCAATTTCGAAACAAAATTCAAAGGGCTGTAACTTTTGAACTAATGGCCCAATCTTCGAACTGTTTGAAATTATGGGTTATACAGGGCACATTCTATAAGAAAAAAGTATAATACCTGTGAGAAGGTATGAGGTATGAAAGCGGTAGTAAAGTATGGAGTGTCAAAAGCAAGTATGGGGAAGAATTTAAGAAGGATTTCTGAGGATCTATTAGAAATTTTATCCGATTTCAGAGATTTCCGTGGGTCTCCAGGAATTGACGGGGGGCTTAAGGGATTTCTTTGATCGCTTGTAAAAATTTTTCTATTGGACCGATTTTGTTTGTTCATCTTTTGATCGACGCAGAATTGTGTTTTCTTTAATTTACTAACCAAGTGTTAATCATAAAATATGAACCGTTTTCGGGCTTGAAGCGAAACACTGAAAAAAGTTCGAATATTTTGAGGTTTTTTGGCTCTGACTCTTCAATCTTATTTGGACCCAAATGAACCAATTAAAACGATAAAATCGTTTGCACCACCTTTTTCAAGAATCGTCTACCTTTTAGAAAATGCACGTCGTAGGATTTGCACAAGACAGCGTTACATAATCGCGTAAAATTTCCTGTCTTCTTTTCCGGGGGGTCGCCACGCATGTTCAATCTTACGACATCTAGAAATAAATAGCTGCAGTACTGCTGCTTGCCGCCATTGTATAACATTTTTGAGAATGATTCCTGGTCGCAATATTGGATTTGAAATGACAAAACTATCAATATTGAAAGAAGAGGAGCAGTTTTACAGCAACTGTACTTAAAAATTGAAAAAGTGCTTAAAATAAAAAATAAAATGTGTGGTCTCATTTCAGCAACATTGTAGAAATACTGTCTTTCTAGTAAAAACTTTACATATTCGCTCTAGAGTAGAGTTTATATTTTCAAAAACCAACCTAAAAATGATTGTATAAGTATAAGCTCAGAAGTCATTTTCAAAGTACAATTTTACTTTGCAATTTTTTAGTGGCGACCTCTATTGGTTGTCATGAATTGTATGCTGTCCTTAATGAAACCTTTTTATAGTCTCTCCTAGCTATTTCTCAGCGGGATTCAATTATATATCGTATTTTACAGTTGATTGTAACGTTTTGCAATAAAATTAGAAATAGATACCACGAGAATCAGCGCTTTCGAATATGGCTTTGGTTTCCGAATGCGAACTGAGTGGAAAAAATTCCCCTACTGAAAATCGTATGCGATTTTTCGTATATTTTGTTAAGAAGAGTGAAAATAGTATCGCTGTTAAGAGAATACAAAGTTTTGACTGCAACCTTTCGGCTTTATTTTACGGTGGCCGTAAAAGCTTAATTAATTACAAAACGACCTTACCGAAACACTTAAAGGTGCGTTACGGACGGAAGTAAATTGCAACAAAAAATCACTATGTATAAATACGACTTTTATAGCACCTAAAGTTATATTGCGAAAGTGAGGGTCTGCTTTGTAGATGAAGATACCGCAAAATAAGTAGGTTATTATCAAAATAAGTATATACTAATAAACTGAATGTTACAGTTACGCACGTTGCCATAATATTTACTGTAAATGCATATTGCTCTTGAGTCTTGAATTACGAAATACACGCAATTATCGCAGTTATAAGTGAATGGTGAAAAGTATTTACTCCCTGAATTCTGTTTTCAGGTTTATAGAGTCGTTGGTAGCGTTTCCACGTCCTGAATTTCTTTAAATGCAATATTGATTCTGATGCAAAAGTCGCCTTTTAGGTCTATGGAACGCCGTTTTAGTATTTATACCAACATTTTATCATGTATCATTTTAAATAACAGTCAATCTTATGTCTCTAAATTTTTCGTTTGTTGTTTTTATCTTATGTATTAAGAGATTGATTAAAAAAATGTTGATTAATAAAGATGATACATGAATTAAAATGTTTGTTGATAATTTTAATTAGGCGCTAGTATACACGTAGTCAAATAGACTAAACTGTAGTTCCTGAAACTTCCGCACAATCAGAGATACGAATTAAAATTATCAACAATCATTTTAATTAATGTAACATTTTAATTCAACAATCACTTTAAATAATTCTTGCCGATTTTAACAGCATGAATTCATATGATTGTTGAATTAAAATGTTCTCTGAAAATATTTGTACAATTTTATTCCAAAATTTTACAATGTGCCATTTTAAATAACAGTCAATCGTATGCCTCTACTTTTTACGTTTGTTGTTATTGTCTTACGTATTAAATATGATTGTTTAAAGAATGTTAAAATGTGAAATGAATTATATTGTTATATTGAATGAGTGTATATGAAACTGTATTTCAACAAACAATTAATAACAAACAATTAAATTGAATTGCAAGAAATACTTCGATTAATAAAACGATTTTGTCCAACAAACATAAAAATTCGTTCATTTTAAATGTGGAATTAAAATTATCAACAAACATTTTAATTCATCAGTCATATAAATTCGACGATTTGAAAATTGAAGCCGAATATTTTCAACAATCACTTTAATTCATCAAACAAATAAATTTTTATTGTTAGACGTAGTAAACGAATCTTTTAAAATGATTGTTGAATTAAAATGTTACATGAATTAAAATGTTTGATGATAATTTTAATTAGGCGCTAGTATACACGTACCCAAATACACTAAAGGATAGTTCCTGAAACTTCCGCACAATCACAGATACGAATTAAAATTATCAACAAACATTTTAATTCATGTAACATTTTAATTCAACAATCATTTTAAATAATGCTTTCCGATTTTAACAGCACGAATTAATATGATTGTTGAATTAAAAAGATTGTTGGGAATATTTGTACAACACTTCAATAATTGAATTAATATGATTGTTGAATTAAAATGTTTGTTCATAATTTTAATCCCACATTTAATATGAATAAATTTTTATGTTTGTTGAATTAGTTCTAGTTAGTTATATTACTGTTCGTTTATGTATTCGTTTGTTGATTTGTATTGTTAAACTTTCGTTATACACATTGCTATATAATTCATACATCATTTCAATTAAGTGAAGTTTTTTAAACAAACATATTTAATGTTTCACATAAAAACAACAAACATAATAAATCGGAAAATAAAATTAACTGTTGTTTATAATGTTACATTGTAAACTTTCGTAATAAAAAGTAAAACGGCGTTCCATATAGGTCTAAGCAACAGGTACTGGGAAATGTTTAAATCTCCCACTTCACGAACGTATCCGCGATTGTTTTTAATTGTGTATGTTTTAGGTGTAATAACCATAAATGAGCAAAGGAATAATGTCAATTGTCAAGTCTGGTCATTCCCGCCACAGTGAGATATAAACAAAATTTTATTCTGTATGTACACCTAAAGTGGCATACAATTTAAAAAAAGGATTACACAACCATTTTACATTTTAGATTTGATTACATCCCTAGGAGTGTGGTAAATGGGTTTCTCAGAGAAAGTAATCTGTGAACTAGGAGTAAATTGCTCAAAAACTACTATTTCATTGACTCCCTTGTTTTGCAAAGGAGCGGGTAGATAAAGTGTTTGTTGTGGTCCTAAAGGAGTTACGTATCTTCCCAAAACAAAACCATTGATCATCACGATTCCCTTAGTCCACGCCCTCATATCAAGGAACGTATCTTCAGGATTATCTACCGTAAATGTTGCCTTATACAGTGAAGGACCGACAATGGAGAAATCTGGAGATTGCCAGCCGGATAAGCTATTGGTCCATTTGCGTTTGAATTGAAGAGGCATTACTTCCCAATTCGAAATTACGTCGGAATTGATGTAAACGTCACATTGCCACAGACCCTTGAACTGTTTGAACTGGTAGCTAAATCCAAAATTGTTGCGTCCCCAGTTTTCGACTACCAACTCCAGTGTTGCGTTAGTTCTGTTCATGCCACCCAGATTTAATTTCCCATTTTCAAGTCTCCAATAACCAAAGCCGTTTAAATCGTGAGGGCCCGTTAGTTGTTTTGATACCAGTTTACCGTCGATTAGGACAATCACGGAGTCCCAAACGTAACCACTGATTTTCAACTCCGAATTTGCTGGTATATCTAAGCCTGTCTTCTTGTAAACAATATATCCGTAGCTTTGTCCCGAACCATTATTGATTGGCAGCATTTCCATTGCGACTGGCGAGGCATAGTTGAACTTTTCACTAACCAACTCTGCGACTTGCTCAAATCTTAATTGCTCGGTAATAGTAATGTTGGTATACGCAGTTGTAGGTGTCACTTTCGGCATTTCAGGCGTCTTAAATTGCACCTTACTGTATTTACTAATCAATCTCTTGGCGATGTGATACTTTTCAGTGTAATCTCCCCTTTCCGAAAGAGGGGCGTCGTAATCGTAGCTCGTGGTTTGCGGTGCGTACATGAAATTAGTGTCGCCTAAAGAAACTAGCTGGTTTGCTCCATTAAGGAAACCGAAACTGGTACCTCCATGGAACATGTACATGTTCACCGATGCGGGGTACTTAAGAATGCTGTCTAGAACTCGCTCAAACTGCTCGTTACTGCGGACGTTATGAGTCGCACCCCAGTGATCGTACCAACCCGTCCAAAATTCCATCGCCATTGTTGGTTTGTTTGGTTGCAACTCGTTCAGGCGATCAAATTGCTCGTCTGCAGAATCGGCAAAGTTCGCTGTCTGAAAGAAAATAACGATCAGTTGAATGAATTTCAAAAAATTGTGAATACGTACATGCAAAAAATGTTCCGTTAGCGTCCCGCCAATTCCATGCAAAATTGCATTATCTGATGTTACCAGCAGTTCAACGATACCATTTTTGAGGAACAATTGCCGCAGTTGCTCCAAGTACACCTTATCAGTATCAAACACTGGCCAAAGTTTAAGCGCACCATACTCATTTTCCACTTGAAATGAAATGATCGGTCCTCCTAATGTGAACTGGAATGCCGCAAGGATCGGTAGGAGCACGTTGAAGTATCTCGTAACGTGTTTCATAAAGCTCGGATTGGAAGTTCTAACCTCCTGATCTTTCTCTCGCAACAACCAACTTGGAAATCCGCCAAATTCCCACTCGGCGCAAATGTACGGTCCGGGACGAACGATTGCAAGTAGATCTTCTTCTTGCGCAGTTTTCAAGAAAGTTTCCAGATTCAAAAACTCCTGCATGTCCGATCCTCCGTTTCCAAAATCGTAAGTTCCAATTTCAGGTTCGTGTAAATTCCATGGTACGTACGTTTCGACGGTGTTCAAACCGGCGGCTCTCATCTTACGCAGGCGATCTCTCCAATATTGTTGAGGTACGCGGTAGTAATGCAGCGCGCCACTGTGCAAGGTAATATTTTTGTTGTTTAAGGTGAAGTAATTTTGCGCGGCCGATAAGCCGGCGGTAATACCGCCGGCGGTATAATAATTGTAAACGGTCGGTAATGCCGCCATTTTCAAACGAAAGCTGACGGAAAAGTGACAAAGACTTCATTTGGTTCACCTTTTATACCAGCAATTGAGAAATACTTTGTTTCAAGATAAAGGTACTTGTAGAGATAGTAATTGAAAATTAAAACACTTTAGAAAATGACTAGTCTAGTAGGTAAGTACCTGACCTCTATTTCAGTTTTGGTACAATTAAAACAATAACTGCTTCACTTGGTGATAAATATCACTGAGATATTACTGCAATACTGCAATGATATCCCCGCTATCAAGTGAACAACTCAATTAAGTAGTTACCTACGCGAAAAAGAATATTTTAGTGATCTTGGATCTTTAGAAAACAACAACTGTTTTTCACAATAGCCTATAACCATGTTACACGTATGCCATGTTTATCGCACATGTTTGACATTGAGAAACTTTTGTTGGGTCTTTATCTGTTGAAATACTTGGTACAGAGGGTAGAAAAACAGTTTTTTCCAAAGTCCCAAAAAGTTTTGTTTTGGCTACAACTCGAGAAGCCCTCAAATCCCTCAAATTTGTTGCCCTTTGTTTGTCGTCAAGCAGAAAATGTTATAAACGTAATAACTTCTATCGTTGGTTTATTTGAAAATACAAATGGTTGTTTTTGGCCCCCTGTTACATTGTGTATTCCACAATGAAAAATTCCGAAATCGTAGTGCAAAAGTGATTTTGAAAGCTTAAAATTCTCGTTGCTTCTATTTAAATGTTCTCCAAAAGGACATAGTGCGATTACGAATCGCAACGAGTACCACGATATGAGTTATCTACTTTTTTTGTAAAGATGCTAAAATTCCTTACATCTACGATAATAAATTTCAAGTGTGAAAGTAATTTCCAGTTGTAACCATCAACAGCTCTTACATATTTTGATGTATAGCACACACTGTTTTATTAATATTCAATTCAATCCAATAAATATCGAAAACATTAAAGTGTAAAATCTAACATTACATTCGGCCTTGTTTAGCGAATAAAATTGTACTACCTCCGCTGCGTGTTAGAACCCTTTGGTTTTATCCTTTTACCCCTTTTATACCCTTTTTAAAGTAATGATTCTAACTTTACATACTCTTTCATTTGATGGATCTATCTCTGTTTCTTGCGGTCAGATCTTGATGATCATTAATTTTTTGGTTTCTGCAGGCCAAAATGTATCGAAAATCATCTCTACGACTACTGTTACACCTCCCCCCCCCCCATGGATGTAAATGTTGCTGTGTCAAATGGAAAACGGTCACTAAGCTGCCAACAAAGCACATGTCCAGCTCGTCCAATTAAATAAACTTGAATATACTCGTAAATTGAATGAAAAAATAATTTTGATCAAGACTAATATTTATTAACTTAGGAATCTCATCAGCCTCCAAAACTCCAAGGAATTATTTAAACAAATTTTGAATAACACTGAATCACAAATATCAAATTTAATATGAAAACGCTAATTTGGGTCGCACTTTGGGTTCGATTTAAATTAAATTTCATCCTAACGCACAATAATAATAATAATAATAATGCCTTTATTGAGCTACACTTTACACGAAAAAAATTTATTACCAACTACTCACTACTCAAAGGGCGGAGTTCAGATTGTAATAAAAATTATTACTCTCTGCTCTTCCACTCAACCCAAAATTGAAAGTTTAAATGATAATACCATTAAAAAAAAACAAAAACAACGTAACTATACTACCTACTTACGGAAAGAAAAAGAAAGTAACTATACTACAGATAATCTTAAGAAAAGAAGAAGAGAAAAAAAAGAAAACACAATTTGAACTTCAGATAACAATTCCAACATCACCTGGCTACTGTGCTTGCTTTTGTTGTATGAACATCTTGCAGTTCCTATTAAACTGTTTTAAAGAAAGTGATTTGAGATTTAGAGGGAGTGGGTTATAAGTTATAACTCTTGTAGATGTTGTAACTAAAGCATCTTTGAAATAAAGCTGTTTGATGGAGTGGCGGACTTATTAAACCCCTAAATCTCAAATTTAAATTATGTACGTCGGTTCTATAGGTTATTTTATCATGGAGGTACGCCGGTGTCTTATTTAGGATTATAGAATGGTAAAGCACAAGACTATGATGCAGTCGCCTATTTTTAGCGCATTTCCACAAAAATAAAAAAAAATGCGCTATTGTGGCCACTTTGTCCGTCCGTCCGTCCGCTCGTTTTGCAACGCTACTAGTTCTTTATCTTAAGAGCTATTGTTCTACTTTTTTCGCTATTTGGTTCGTTAGGGTGTCGAGTCTTGTACCAAGGAAGGAATTTTTTCTGTACCGCTTACAAAAAAAGTTATTGTAAAAAAAACAAAAAACCGTTTTTTACATGTTCCATAATTTTACACTTTTGCCGTTTATTAACGATCCTAGAGATCGTTTATAATTTTGCATTGCTATCTGTCGTCTGCCTGTTGGTCTGTCCGTCTGTTCCTTTGTCTGTCTGTCCATCTATCTGTCCGTGTGAACGATAACTTTGTTTAGAAATGTTCGGTCGCTTTTACATCTCCGTTAATTATGAACCGAATTGCATGAAATTCAATATGGGCAGAGCTTTAGCCATATAATACGCAATGCCAAAAGTTGAATTGAATCGATTCAAAATTCACAGTGCCCTTTTCGCATCTCGACCATTTATAAACCGAATTGCACACTTTTTTACTTATAAAAGTATTTGAATGAAATTTGATACATAGGCACTTGGAATAAAGGAAAATCAATCGCCAATTTCAAAATTTGGTTTTGCGCATGCGCAGTGCCAACTTTTTTATTTACCGAAGAATTTAAACGAAATTTGATACATAGGCACTTGGGATAAAGGAAAATCAGACGCCAATTTCAAAATTTGGTTTTGCGCATACGCAGTGCCAACATTTTTATTTATGGAAGAATTTAAATGAAATGTGATACATAGGCACTTGGAATAAAGGAAAATCTAGCGCCAGTTTCAAAATTTTATTTTGCGCATGGGCAGTGCCAACTTTTTTTATCTATGGAAGCATTTAAGTGAAATTTGATACTTAGGCGCTTGGAACAAAGGAAAATCTAACATTAGTTTCAAAATTTAGGTTTGCACATGCGCAGTTCCAACTTTCTTATTTAGAAAAGCATTGAAATGACATTTTTCTCATAAACTGAAATTGAAGTAGCACGTTAAAAATGGATTGCCCATGTGCAACGCTATCTTTCATATTTGTAGCCGGATTTTTACGATTTTAATAGAAGTTGCATCTTACAAATGGGAAATGAATGCAAGTGGAAATGCGCTTTATGTAAATCGTTTACGATTACTTTTTAACTTGTTCATATTGAGCCAATCTAAATATTTCAATTTATAGGTGATTCAACATATAACAAATAACATATGTCTGATAACAAAAACGACCAGATTTTCCCGCCGTAATACCACTTTCACAATTAAATATACAAGTAGTTAAAGTAAGGGCCTTGATCAAAGAATTTTTCGGCTGACATAGAAAATGCGTGAAAAGTTTAGCTTTAGATGATACATTTTGTATGGTATCCTGTAGAATTGTGGGCAGTCAAACTGTTTGCAAAAAAGGTTTAATTTTTTTAACTTGTTAATAAATTCGGAAAAAATATGAAAGTGGCGATTAAGTAATTAATTAATTTCTTGCTAACAGAATTTTGACATTGACAGTGATCCATTAGGTTGCTTTATGCTTTCCAATTGCTTTGAAATGTTTAGGCTGCTCCGAATGAATGGCGTGTAAAACACTTTTCAATTAATTAATAATTAAATAAACCTGCTACAGTAGGATCAAATTAAGCAATTGGTGGTTTTGATGTTGACAATGTTCACACTTCAGAAAACAACTCAAACCTACGCCGAAAAGCAATGGTAAATGAAAGGCCACTGGCACGCAGCTTAGACACAATTTCTCTTTAAACCGAAAATTGATATTTCAAACATTTCAAGTATTCAGTAAGGAGCGTTAATGAGATTTAGACGCGTAGTTATAGAATTTTAACGTCTCCCTACTCACTGAATAATGTGTGGGAAGGAACGTAAAATTAATTTACATGCTTTCAGTAAAAGTGAACAATAAAAAAAACGGAATTGCTAATTTGTTAGCAGATTACGGGAGCTTGGAGGACATGAGCTTTTATAATCTTATACAAGTTCGGCTTTGCATATAAATTAGAAATTGTCTGCGATTCAAAGCTTATCATTCAAGATTATTTCATTAAGAACGGTTAAGTGACAGTATGCTTTGGTGAATGAAGAGGTTTATGATTGTTTGGCCAAGTCGTTACGACATTGCTCTTACTTGTTTTGCGACTATTCTCAAAATAAAGACTCGTAATTGTTTCAGAAATTCTTTCATAAAACGCAGACAAGACGATTTATACAAAACTAGCTAATGTACTATATATCTGGGAAGTCGTCATATAAGAGTAGAAATCGATCTGCAATCTTTTGGGAACGTCTTTGAATAACAATTACTCATGTACGATTTTACCGGAATGTATTTAAATAATTATAGCTCGATTTTTCCGAGATGTCTTTGCATAAAGACTAGGTACTAATTAATTTAGGATTCTTCCAGGACGATTATAAATGTGTGATCTTTCTGGAGAGTCTTTGAATAAGGACGATCGGTGTGCAATTTTTCGCGGACATCGTTAAAACGTTTTTGAGTAAGAATTATTGACGTGCGATCCATTGTTTTAAACAAGGAATACAAGTGTGCAATTTTTAGTGTGCCATTTTTCCGAGACGTCTTTGAATAAGGATGATTAACGAAATTTTTCCCATCAGACGCCGTTACATACGCATATACCCGTAATATGCTACTTTTCCAGGACGATGTTAAATAGGAGCATTTATATTAATGAACCTAGGTACGATTCTTCAGAGACGTTTTTGAGTAAGCGTTATTATTGTGCGAAATTTACCGGAAGTACTGAAATAAGGGCGATTATGCCATGCGGAATTATTTCGAGACTTTGTTAAATGCGGGCGGCTAT